GATACCCTTGCTAAGAAACGAGTTACTGCTCATCTTTGGGCTTCTCCTGTCACTTCAAAACTGCTCTGGGATGCTGGGCTGATCTGTGGGGAGGCTGAGATGGCAGAAGGTGCCAGCTTCCCTCTGGCCAGCCCCCCACACCCCTGCAGGGCCTACTACAGCTGAAGCTTTGCAAGTCCGATAAGGTGACTGCGCTGAAAAATCTATGTGTAGAACTTGCTGCTGTAATGCAGAGACAGAAGAGCTATACTCAATCCTGGTTGCAACTGTCTAATCATGCAGAAACAGCTTCTTGGGACATTGTATGAAAATCTAATCTATTTCCTCATTTGTTTTAGATTGCGTTATTTTCTGTATTTCATTCACAAAATCAGACTAGATAGTTTAACAATGTTCGGAGAATGCTTAGGGACACTGAAAAAACACAATACTCTAGCAGAGTAAAGAAAAACCAAATCAGCAATAATATATTATAAAAAATAGTGTACTTTTTGATATTTATCTTCTTTCTTACCTCTCCTGTCTGTTTCTTTTCCTTCTGTTTCTCTTCCTTCTTTTTTCACATCCTCTTCACAGGAAAGAATGAGTACGATCTTCTGGTAATTGGTGGAGGGTCTGGAGGCCTTGCTTGTGCAAAAGAAGGTTTGTACGTATAACGAACAAAAGTTTTGTTTTAGCTTAAGTGGTGTTACTGATAATGCTAAAGCTTTTTAAGAAATACAATATGCTTCAGTCCCTGCACGTTAATCATTAACTCAGCTCCATACAGTTAGTCTGCAAATCAATTCACACCCTCAGGTGAGGTGATCTTATTTGGCTTCCTGATTAACCTTTTAAAAAGATACTTCTGGTGTCATGGAAAAATCTAATAAGCTTTTATTTCACTGTTACTGTAAAATAGTCCTATGGAGTGCCTCCATAGACACTGTATTTTTTAATTATACTGTTGCTTATTTATGTGTTAAAACAACAGTCCCTTCAGACTGTTTCCAAGAACTGTTTAACTGCTGTAGAGAACCTTGCCCCTTCGTAACGTAATGCGCTCGACAACCCATAAGGTTCTTAAACATCTCATTTGCTGTCAAATTGCATTGTTAGGGTCGGTGGAAGCTGGAGGCTGTAGTCTGGGTTATTAAGTGCCTTCTGGAGAATCTACTGACTACATAGGCAGCCTGGGTCCCTAGTCTTGAGTTAGACAGTAAAAACCACCAGCTGTCTTCTCCTATACTCTTTATCTATACCTGTGCTACTAAAAATGTTTAGGTTTGTGTTTTTCTCCCTCCTCTAAATACCTTGTCTTGCTTTTTGTTTAAAGCTGCTCAGTTTGGAAAGAAAGTGGCTGTTTTGGATTATGTGGAACCTTCTCCACAAGGTACGGAAGAGAAATACTAGGATAGTGTTTGGACATGTGTATAAAACAGTTGCCTGGGTGAGCAGACTGCTCCAGGCAGCAAAGTGGCCAAAGCCATGCTGCCTGCTTTGCTTGTAGTAAAAGTCCTTAAGCCCAGCTTGCCAATCTGTTCATTCTCTCTAATGGTGTCCCAGATCTGCCTGCTTCTTCTGCACATTAAGATTGTTAGCAGTGTTTGATGCTACCATTTGTAGTAGACTTTAGACTTAAATAAGTGAGAATATTGTCTTTGTCAAAATGTCGTTTACAATTCTAAAAATTAGGAATCACACCATGTTGAGGCTCTTCATGTACAATATGTGAAATAAGATCTGCAAATGCAAATAAGCAAGTGTGAATGTGGAGCAGCTGGATCTTCAGAGGTCTGAGAAACATCTTGAAATTGTTTGAATTTTAGAAGAAAAATATATAGAGGTTTTTATCAAAACAAATTAACATAAGCAGAGTTAGAAACTGATCTGTAGGAGATTGTAAACTGTGTGTTGTTTCAGAACTTTATAACTAATTGCATGAACAACCTAATTCTCCAAGTAACCCGATTGCATTAAGTTATGCTAACCTGATGCGTTTACTTTTTTTTTTCTTTCTTTTTTTTTTTCTTTTATTTTCCAAGGAACCAAGTGGGGACTTGGTGGAACTTGTGTGAATGTTGGCTGCATTCCTAAAAAGCTTATGCATCAAGCAGCCCTTTTAGGGAGTGCCCTTAAGGATGCCCATCACTATGGCTGGAATATAGCACAACCTGTTCATCATAACTGGTAAAGATTATTGCCCGTATCTACTCCTATGTGCTGCAAATGCTTAACAACTTTTCCCAGCTGGTGTTTGTTTAGTTAGGGAAGTGAATTTTGCATGAAGCTTTTTAGACTGCCCCTTTTTTAAAACACAAAGCTGTATTCACTGGTTTATCAGGGTAGATACTACATTGATTTGGACTTAATAATTTAATTTTATTACAAAAAGTGCTATAGAACATTCCTAATTTCTAGCAGTTGCCTGTATCTTTGAGTTGCATAATCTGAATTTGTAACATGATGACTTCATGTTCAGTTTCTTGTTTTGTGATAGGTCTGTGATGGCACAGGCTGTTCAGAATTATGTGAAGTCCTTGAACTGGGGACACAGAGTGCAACTACAAGACAGGTAAATAAGACTTTGAAGTTCATCTTTTTTTCCCATAGTCAAGGAGCTGCTCTTCTCCTTGTAGAATTGCTGAATTGCCTTTGGAGTTTCTCATTAGAGCCAGTATTTTGATTTTGCAAGTCCTTTTTGCTCAGGAATGTAAATGCCCTTGCCAATGTAAGTGTCTTTTTTTCCCCCCTTCCGTTTCTTTTCTGGGAAATAGTGGTTGAAAGTGACCATACGTGAAAGCTTTCTAACAGCGTAGTGATCAGGGAATGCTTGCTTTAATCTGGAGAGCTTTTGCATTAATACGGAGTAGTCAGGGCTTGTCAAGATAATTTCAAGCTTGTCCGCCAGAATTTGTATGCCATACAAGCCCACAGATAACACTGTACTAGAGCAGCTTGGTTTTTTTCTTTCAGTGCAGAAATGGTTCCAAGCTTTTCAGCATGCAGTTCCTTTTATAGAGAAATTATATTAACGGATAATTTAACAGGTAGTAGTCTTGTGACTCCTGCTGAGTCACTTTTATATGCTCTCAAATGAGTATTGTATTAGTAATGTTATAGCTAGTAATGGTAATGCTATGTCTGGTGGAAAAATATATCATTTGAAGAGGTCAATAACGTGATCCCAAAGCATCTTACAAGGTTAGGTACTCTGCTGTATAGAGGAGTTAACTGTGACACAAGAATTAAGTGACTTAAATTATGTGACAGAGCTGCAAACAATCATACAAATGAGATGCTTTCTTTTTCTTTTGTTTTTCTATACCTGTTTGCTATTCTTTTTAGCACTTCAGATATGGAAAAGGTAGCTGATTGTATTTCATTCCTATTTGTTAAGTGTGCATTTATGTTGCTGTTTTCTTCTAAACAGGAAGGTGAAGTATTTCAACATGAAAGGAAGTTTTTCTGATCTGCATACAGTCCGTGGTTTAACAAAAGCAGGTAAAGAGGTGAGCTGCTGTGCTGATTTCTGCAGTATCATTCACTTCAAGCATTTTAGGTCTTCACGTATTGGTTTTCAGGTCAACTGGGAGCTAGACTGTACTTTTGCAAATTGCTTTAGATATTCAGTAATTTTGGTGAGGTAGATTTCCATTTCCCACCTAGAGAAGATGTTTATGAGCTTGACTGTTGTCTGCTGAGTCCCTAGCCTCTGAACTGTCAGTTAGATGCTGTTACTTTTTCTCTGCAGATGGAAATGCTGAGACAAAAGATATTTTTTTTTGTCAGAGTCATACTGCTTTGATAGATGCTTACAGAGATGTAAAGAGGACCAACATCTCCTTATTGCTCTGAGCATTAAATCAGTCTGAGATGTTTTCCTCCTTCAGGTGAATTGTGAGTGTGATTAGCTTTCTAATACAAAATTGTTTGAGGGAGGTAATTATACTGAATGCACAGCTTCAAACAACTGGGTCATGTAACAGAGTGGTGGCCATTTCTGTGTATTTAACAAGAGGCTGAACATGCATTTTTAACACCTTTTTGAGTGTAATTATATAATGTTACTGGTTAATATCAGCTTGAGAGAGGAGACTTTTTTTGAGGGTAAATGCCTAGCATTTTCTAAAAAGCTGTCACTTTGGGGGTAGCTTAACTCCAGACCTTAGAGACAGAATTCACTTGCTGTGATCTCTGTGTGTTTTGTCCGAACAAAAATTTTATTTTAGAAAGCTTCTGTGTGTGCACAACTTGCTTCCAAGCAGTCATCAGAATCTTTTCCAGTATAGGAACAATTGTAAGCTTAATATTAAAACAAAAACTGATAGAGAATGTGTAGGAGAAACTCCTGCATGTATTAGTTTATTTTATCTCCATCCTTTTTTAATGCATTACTGGTTATTATGTCCTATAAATAGCAGATGGTACTGCCAGCTTTCTCATTTATCACTCATTTGTACATAGATAAAATCCAAAGACAGATAAAAACATTTCAATTGCTTGATTTTGATTTTGTATTTTCGTTTGTAGACTATTGTTACTGCAGAAAATATTGTCGTTGCTACTGGAGGAAGACCAAAATATCCTACACACGTAAGTTACCCTTGCCATCTAACTACTCCAATGGCTTTACTGGTTTTGTTGCAGATAATAATGAGTATTTGGAGGATAAAGAATGTAAATATGAAGAAACACACAAGAGGTTTTTGTACTTGTGTAGTGTGAAAAATTATCTTTTATATAAAGTACAGGCTTTTCAGAAAAACATTTCCATAAAAACCAGTTTGCATCAATTTAGTATGTGGATGTTGCTTAGAGCTGTAGGATAATTCAGATTGGAATGGATCTCTAGAGGTCATCTAGTTCAACCTCCTGCTCAAGGAGGTTGGCATCAGCTATTGAATCAGGTGTGATGTCAGATCATGTTGCTCAAGGTTTTTTGCAGTCAGGTTTTGAAAATTCTCCGAAGATGAAGATTGAATAACATATCTGGACAACTCCACGTACATTCCCCTTGGTCTACTGGCTATGCTTCGTCTAACACAGCCCAAGTTGCTATTAGCTTTTTTTGCTGCCAGGACTTGCATTGTAGATGCAAGATCTTACCTGTGTGATCATAGATTGCAGGTGCACTGGAGTATGGAATCACAAGTGATGATCTGTTCTGGTTAAAAGAATCTCCTGGAAAAACGTAAGTTACCTTACCATGGCTTTCATAGATGCTGGAATTTGTACTTTTTCCTTGTGGCAAGGTGAAAAATGTTCAAAATTGCCTTTTATATACCATTTTATCTGTCATTTTGTTTTCCTTCTGAGAATTTGGTTTGCTCTGCATCAACATCACACTACCAACCTTTATTAGCAACTAATACATTTTCCCCCCTCTCCCCTTATGAAATTCCCTTCTAAAATAAAATGAAATATGAATTTTCACCATCTTAGGTTGCTGTAGCAATTATACATGGAAGTCACGAGAGGGCAGCATAAACTTAAACAAAGGATGTACTGTCCTTATTTGCTACGGGTGTATGCGAAATTACTCTTCAATTTGGAAAGGAACTCCAACATAATGTTATGTTCTCTTAAGTGGTGCCAGTTCTGATAACACAAGAAAATATGATGACACAATTGGGTTACTTTTGCCTTTGCTTATACTTTGGGAGCTATTGTTTGAAATACTAAAAAATTGGTTTTGATGGAAATATTAAAATGTCTTGGTTTTTTACAGCACATAGCACAGTAAGATTCTGAGTCACGGTGCACTACAGAGCAATTTGCTAGCATGAAAGTCAGATAATACTTTTTTCTTTTCTTTATTGAGCAATTCTAGAAAAAGCAAAGTATATATAAAACAAAGAGACTTGAAACTATAGTACTGGTGTTTTGAAAGAAAACAGATCTGCCATTCATGGCTGTGACTTTCTAATATAAAAAAATGCCCTGTGTTAAGTTAAACATCAAATAGATAAACAGGGCTCCTTGTTACAGTTTAAAAAGGAAAGTACATTTGCTGTTGTTTGTAGTGTATCAGTCACTTCTTGAATTTTGAAAGCATGATTTATGCAAGGAAAAAAAACGACACCC